CTAATCATCCCCCTTCGGCTTCAAGCCTGAATCTTTCTCTGGGTTTTTTGCTGAGGGGTGGGCTTCAGGAACAGCTCTGGTGGATTGCTTCATGGGGAAACCTCAGCTAGGACCAAACAAATAACCACCCCCCTCCCCCCGCCGTGGAAAAAGAGACCAGGGCACACAGTGCTTTGCTTAATATGAAAAGTGGACCAGCCCTGATTTCTTTACCCTGACCCTATGATGCCACCCTGTGATGTGTAACGCGCAGCCCTGTGGCGGTGACTGGGGGCTTTTGTGGCCCATGTCCGCAATGCACCTTTTTAAAACGTCCAGTATCAGCCCTCGATGTCTTCCAACAGCTCCTTTGGCTTACCATACCCGTCCTAAAAAGATTATCCCATCGATCTGCGTCTCAGATGGCTGACTGATGTGCTTGTTTTGTCCCCCCCCCCCGACTTTTGGAGTCACATTTCACTCTGTTTTGATCGTTCTGTTGCTACCCCCAGGAATGCATTCTTTCTGTTTCGTAAATGTCCCCACAGGGGCCGGGAAAACCGGGCCCGCTGTCTTGGGCCGTTTTTGGGGACCCTGCCCAGGACGTGGGAGCCTGGGGAGGTGGGAAGACTGCGAGCGGCTCGGAGATCCCGCGGTCGTCGTGCCCTGGCCGGCCCCCCGGCCCTCTGACTTCCTCCTAGGGCCGGCCTGAGCAGGCTGTTTCCGTTGGCCTGGTGGGTTTTGAAACAATGGACACAGAAAAAGGGGAATGTGGCCAGAACGAAGCGGGCAGGAACTTTCGCAAAGCTCTGCTCTGGGAAATGGCATCAATCTGCACTTGCCGTGCTTAAAGGGCACGCCTGCGTTTACCACGGTGCAGCCAGAGTGGGCATGGTAACTCACCTCAGCGTGTATCACATTTTTAAATAGACACGGCTCTATAAAAGTTACCAATATATCAGTATAAGGTCTAATATTGTTGTATAAGTGTATCTGTTCCTCCACCTTTTATACCTGATCTACAGGATCTATAAGGCAAATCGGCCCAATTCTCGTTCTGTCTCTCATATCCCTGTGTGATGTTTCCATGCTATATTAAGGTATTTTCCCCACACTGCCCTGCATCTCGGTAATTCAGCTGTCGGATTGTAACTGTATTTCTTATTGCGGGCCTGATTTAGCTTGACCCTGATTTATCTTTTTCCAGTAGTTGTCTTCTGTCTCCCAGTGTCAGTGCAGACAAGTGCTTCGTGATGTTATAAAGGGAGCCATTACCAACTGACCCCCCCCCCCCCCCCCCACCCACATAAACAGACGAGCTAGCTGTGAAATTCAATTGCCAGCTCGTGTTTATCCATTCGCTGGGCTCTCGCAGTTAAAGGTGCCGTGTTTGAGAATCAGCCTGCAGGAGAATTAGCCTGCGTTCCTGGCCGCATGATTTGCGCTGGCTGTCCTTGTGGCGCTCGGGACACGGTCGCCGTCCGAGCTGGACAAGCAGCCAATCGCTCACTCCTTCCGGAATATCATTGCATTGTCACACAGATCTGCGCTGGACTGTCACGCCTGTCCCATCACGACTGAGTCATCGTTTGGGGGTGGGAGAGATGGGGGGGAGGGTGTTACCCCTGGCTGCTGTCCCGAACATCACGGTGGTGATCTCGTCTTTAATCACAGCCTGATAAGAGAGGGTAACGCTCAGTAAGGGGGGCTCTTGGAGAGCCAAGGATTAAGCGTTTGGCTAATGCTTGCTGTGCTGGGCAGGCCGTCTTGTAGGACACTAATCGCTCAAATTTATGCAGAGTGACTCTGTTTATGTTTCATTATTAATGCCAGTCCATATTACTCAGGAATACTGTCCATCTGCACACAGTCTTGTCTGATCAATGTGCAGCCCAGGGTTTTGTCACCTTATACAAGTGATAATTATACATTTAGTCGGCTTTTGGAGTGAGTTGAGTGTAGACAAACATCTGTCCGTCACCTGCTTTTCTCTGTGTTTTGTTTATGTATATAATTGTTAATTGATCCCATTTACTTGATTTTATCGGTGCTACACAAAGAAAGTTGGCTGGCGGCATGACAATGTCTGACATTTCATTTGAAAGTACAGCAGGTTTTTTTCTCTGTTATATTTTTGACATTTAGATTTTTGCAACTTTGAATTATACAGTTATGTCGTTTGCACTTGTCTTTGAAGATCACTTGGGCTTTGTGAATGTATTTGAACTTTTCCCTTTTACTGATTTTTATTATTATTATTATTTTTTTAATGAGTCCACTTGATGTGTCCTGCAGTGCCGGCGAATGGGATCTGCACATTTTCATCAGTCTTTGGTTACCCAGTGATTCTGCTTGCTGATCTCAGGCATGATTTCAGTTCTAAGGATTAGAAATATTTTTGACTACTAATGTTTTCTGGTTAAAAATAAACTGGAAACCTGTGCGAAAGATGAAACGTGTCTCTGTGCTCCCTATTTTGCTGTTTAGCCAAACGTTTGTCTTTTGTCAGTGTTTTGCCTATTAGGGTAGAAGAGCCGCAGTAATGAAGGCCACTGTTCCTGGCCTGGAAAATCCCTGGAATGTCATTGTCCAGCGTGCTACTGGGAAGAGCGGTGGAGGTGCACCTGAGAAGGTCCCGTCCGCAGCTCCGTCTCGGGTCTCCTGCACGCTCCATGTAGACGCCCTTCTCTTGGAAACATCCACTGTTGTGCTATTTGTTATGAAGGAATTTCAAGAATTCCGCCTGGGCATTTCGTAGGAAGTGGAGCTCAAAACAAATGATTCGTCCAGGAATAGCATCTGGTCTCTGTTACTTCCCTGGGCCTCGAGATTATCTGAGAGACGTTTATGAGAAACGAGCAGAGCAGCTCTTCCCCCCCCTCTGCCCTCAAGGGATGGGGGCTTTCAGGAACATCTCAATGGAAGATGGCTTGTCCCTCCCCCCTTGCACGGTTGAGGGTCTTATCCCTGAAGAATTTGTTTGTTGGTTTTTGGTAGATTTCAGCCATCTTGATCTTGGTAGAGAAGCCGTCGTACATGGAACATTCTCTGCTTTGTTCTCTGTTCACACCATCCTCCAGTAAACATTTGCATGGTGGAACCTTTTTTTAAAAAAATATCAGACTTGTTGGAAGCTTGGCATCTTTGTGAAATGACTGTTTTTAGGTTGTGTGTGTGTGTGTGTGTGTGTGTGTGTGTTTGTAAGATCAGAATTCCTTTCCAGACAGCGCTCTGGGTGGACAGTTGGGAGACTGGACATGCATTAAACGACGTCGTCTTGTCCCTGTGTGTGATGGTGACAGTCTGAGGTCTCTGTTGCTGTGCCTCATGTTGGGGCATCTCAGACCCCCTAACCCTCCTCTTCACCCTAA